TTTTTTTTTTTTTTTTCGTTCTCCTCTCTCCTGTTGGACCTTTCGAATCACTTGTGTCGACTTTGAGAAAAACACCGGTACTGCTGCTGCTACTGCTGGGCAATTTCTACTCATGATCCGAGTGAAGAGCCGAAATTTAAAAAAAAGGGGCAGAATCCAAATGGAAAGATTTTATCTCACAAGTAAATACAACGCAAAGACACTGCAGCGCAAGATTAACGCAACGTTTCCGCGAATGAATCGTAAAATAAATAATTTAAAAACGACTGCGGTACTCGTATATCCTGCATCTGTTTTCCTCCCCGAGTCTTAATCCTCCCGTGGCTTAATTTAAAATTGTAATGGAATCCCTCCGGTGTCCCGAGGCTGCGAGAGCAATTTACCAGGTTTCCGTGCATAGGTGTCGGGGAGATTGCGATGCTGCTGCTGTGCGAGCGGATATTGTGTATGTTTTTCCATGAACTTTTATTCCTCCCGAATAAAATAATTGTGCTCGAGAGAAGCGGCGAGTGTGCGACTGTACGTAGATCACGTGCATATATATACCTAGCTAGGTATAAAGCAGAAAATGACCCGCATCGGCCGCACTGCTAATATAAAGTTCAAGCACATACATTATCAGCACACGTATCGCAGGTTAAACAAAAGCTCGTAGGCTTGATATTTTATTCGTTTGTATAAATCGTTTTTCGAAAGTAAAAAAAATGCATACAAAAACTACGACAAAAAAGTGTTTAAAATTCTGAGAATAAAATTTATTAATACAGTTTCAAAAAATAATTTTGCAAAATGTTGTCATGAAAGTAATTTGATTGACAAGTAGTCATTTTATTGTTCAATTTTAAGAAACTTGATGTAGTCTTGTGAATTTTTATTTTTCGCACAAAAACGATTTTGTTCATGAATAAGCAGACAATGCATGTTTGAACAAGCCTCCAAAGTTGAAGCATAAAAATAAAAATCTCAATAAATTAGCTTGCACGACAATCAAAGATAAAAGTAAATGGTTTATTTAATGTTGAAGGCATTTAAAATGTAAAAAAAAAAATAGAGTGGCCCTTTTTGAACGTACTAAGCATAATGATTAACTTTTATTATGATTTACCCAACAAAATTTTAATTGTTTTTTTAATATTGCTAAAAAAAACACCAGTTGTTATGGCTGCATTTTTTCTATTTGTGCCAAAAATATCATTGTAGATCATTTTTATGATTTATAGTCGAAGAATACATGAAAATAATGATCCTTAAGACATCTTTTCGTAATTTATTTTTCTTTTGAATAAAATGTTTTGTGAAGCGCGTAATGGAAAGTTATAAATGTCTCTTGAGAATCGAAATTTAATTGTTACCAATTTCTTCAATGGAT